GTTTCTGTAATCATTTTACCTTTGTTTTCTCAAAGAACCGCGCATCATCTATTACGTCACTAGCATAACCAAAATTAGAAATTTTACACTTCTTGTCATCACTAATCAGCACATGTCCAGCAGTCAAATATCGATGCATTATCTGAAATACAAAATAATCGCAATGTTACTATGTTATGAGTAAAGATTCGGCGTTTTTGGTATTCACAGGCCATTATATTTCTCCCCATATTGTAGTGAGCTGCTCCCAGCAAAGTGCGGTGACGAACAACGAAAAGTAAATTGTAGTAACAACAATGTATACGACATGTTAACTGTAAATATGTATATTATTTGTTATTCAGTAAAGCCGAGTGATTTTGAAGTTCAACGTCATTTCTTGGCTGTACCATTTAAACGATGGATGAACTATTTTGACGTTGCTGCGGTATGAAAATCACCCTAGGGTGACGCGAATTAACGTACGTGAGTTGTTACTATAAATGATATTACTGCAGTGACATTTGTAAGGTTGCATTTTTTTATTCTACCACAGAGGCGGCGACACGAAATTTTACATGGAGGGCCGAAATCTGCTCACCAACCTCGCATCCAGGGCGTGACTTGTCTAGATGGCCCACGGCATGCTCCTCAACAAATTTGCAATATAGACCCTCTGAAACGCTATTTACTGCATTTTGATGGGCACATTTTGCTGACAGAAAAGGTTTCAACTCGATTGTCGAGGGGCGACCGCCCCGCTGACTACCCCGCCCATGCTGCCGCCACTATACAAGTATATATTAATGCTAATACTTCATTCAGAAAGATAATATCCCGGCTTACATACACACACACATTTGTGATAATATTACAATACCTTTAAGCTAGACAGATACTCCATTCCATTGGCGACATTCAATACGAATGAAATCAGGTCTATATTCGGAGCTTCCATGGTTTCATATTTGTGCTGCGATTGGAGGAATGTCTTCAAGTCGACATTTAAATGATCCAGTATTATGTAACTGGGGACTAAATAACAAACAAGGAGATAAATCTAAGAGTCACTGCATGAAAAACTTATTTGATGCATCAAATTTTTCAAATATTGTAGTCTACCCACCTTTTTCTGTGCAACATCCAAGCATTCGAATTATATTACTGTGTCCACGTATTGATTGCAGTATTTCTATTTCCTTCACAATTTCATTTTCCACCAGCGGATCGCCGTCTGAAAATAGGTATCATGGTTCACATTATTTTTATTTTGTTTTTGAAGATAAATACAATTCAATTGAATATTTCACCAAATACTCACTACTACTCTTCTTAATCACTACATTAGAATGTCCAGAGACGCCATTAATATTCCATGCTTCTGCTTTACTAATTTCATAGAACTTCCCAATCGAAATAATACTCTTGATACAAGCACGATCTCTTGGAAATTCGTTTGTCTTCTGTCCTGATTTCATGTAAACAACTTCATTCTTGTCAAATGAAAGTTTAGCATATTCCTCTTCTTTCACTTGATTCTACAACAAATATTTTGTGATTTAGTAAGATTCAATGCGTGTAAATGAAAGGAAAATCTTCCAATAAGGACAGACAGTTATCATATTTCTCTCCATAGAAATTCAATCAAATTTACATTGATTAACAACACAATAGCAGTTACAAATTAGAATATTAACATAGGTGTGAGATGTATTTAAATTTGATATTATTGTACTCACTTTATTGAAACAGATTTTTTCAATAGATTCATATGCTTCTTCGGAGTTCTTATTAGGTTCAAACTTATTTTCTGTCAACATTATTAACATTATAGTACAATTTAATTACCCAACTGATATAGGAATAAAAGTGATGTAGCAAATTATTGTGGCGCGATCTAAGATCATTTCAAGCTTCATGTTCTCTCTATACAATATTTTATTCGTGTTACAAAGCGGGACAAAATTATCAAATAGTGGAGATGATGCAAAGCAAGAATAATATTCAAAAAAAATATATAGAATAATTTATACGGTATTATAGTTGTGATCCTATAAACTAATGTGTGATATGATCATGATATATCTATTTTATACTCACCTGCAGCCACATTTTCGTATCTTTTATCATCCAAAACTGTGTCGTCTGTGTAACAATGTTTTGTTGTCAGGTATAACAATTAAATTATGCTCATTATAAATGAAGATAGTTGAAATAAACATAATAGAACACGTTATCGAGTATAAAGCTGATTCTATTTTACCCACCTGTATTTTGTCTATGTTGAATTCTTCTTTTCAAAACTATTATAACAGATGCAATTGTAATCGCCAACAAACTAAGGATAACACTTGGCACGACGTATACTGCAGCGTTAGTGTGTGTGGATCTACTACTATCAATATTGCGTGGTGGCTGAGCTATAAATAAAGATATTATCCTGTTAATTAATTATCCTGTTAATTAAGATAGAATAGTTATAACACGTGTTCTGCATTATATCATAGGAAAATAATATTCACTTAAAAGGGAAGTCAAGCCAAACAACATATTGCCCCCTGAAGAAAAACCTCCACGAATGTAGGAGAATATAATTTACATTTTTTTATCACTTTTCAT